CCGGCGGATAATCGAGGGAGGAGGGGAGGCGCGCACGACGGCCAAACTCGCGAAGTGTCTTTATCGCCGGTACAGCGGCGGGCGCGCGGGAGGGAGGAGGGCGTGAGGTAACAAGCAGGCAGGCAGGCACGCGCTCGTTGCACTTCCCTCCTGGCCGCCCGGCCCCGGCCCGGCCCCGGCGTGGCACCGAGAGAGACAGCCCGGCGGCAGGAGCCGGCCCAGCCGGCCCCGGACAGTTACAGCGCCACCGCCGCGGAGCCCGCTTCGTAAGACGACCCCGCCGCCTTGCGCCTCGCCGACTTCTGACGGCTCTTATTTCGCAGCAGCAGCGGCAGCCGCCTCACCGCGTCGCGCGCATCCTATCGGCTTTTGCGCCGCGCTGCGCGAGGAGGAGCATCGAGTATCCGGAGCCGGGCGTCACGACGTCCTCATCGCGGGCCGCGGTGCAGCTGGGGCAGCGGGCTGTCCAGGCCGAGACTATACCGCCTACTTCCACGCCGTAGTTAGTTAGCCAGCTACAGCGACACCGGCCGGGCGCGCGCGAGCGGCGTTTCGAAGTTCAAGTGTCGGCGGGACGAGGAAGAGGAAATTGGCGGCAGCGGCTCGAGCGGGATATCGACAGCCAACAGCGGTGCGCCTACAGGCGGCGCCCCCGGTGAGTATGTGAGTGAGCGAGAGAGACGCGACGCACCGGGCGGGACAGCTGTCAACAGGCTGTCGGAAACTGAGGGGGAATCTCGTTAGGGCCCTCTGGGCCCTCCCCCGCGAGAACGACGTCTTGGCCTGGGCGTCTATCGCAAGAAAGCGTATTGTTCTCTTGTCTCTTTTGTCGCGCATGGAAAATAGGGACACGACGGCTGCGGGCGGGCGCTGCTGCTCGGGAGGAACAGGAAGGCGTCTTGAAAGTGTGCCCTCGTTGAGAGACTCTCTAAGTGGCTCAGGCGTTGTGAGATTTAGCGATACCTCTTTTCATTCCGATGACGCGAAGGGTATGGTCCGATAGGCTATTCCGCTCGACGCGGTAAGAAGAACACAAGAATCACAAAAGCCGAGAGTGGGGGGAGCGGCGCGGGGGAGCGCGGGCGAGTGGGGAAGCCGCCTCGCTACCCCCACCCTCGGCTTTTGTGATTCTTGTGTTCTTCTTACCGCGTCGAGCGGAATAGCCTATTGCCATTTATTTCCCTGAAGCGGAAAAGGGGTCACACGTCCACTTATATCTCATGACCCCCTTTTTGTTGTTTATTTTTTTGCCTGTGATGGTGTGTGTCGGCACTCATTTTACAATTGGCACGAGGGTCCCTAACGAGCCCCTCGCGTCTTGTGGGTAAGCCGACTCGTGTTGTGTGTGTTTGTGTGGTGTGTGTGTGTGTGAGTGTGTGTGTGTCAGTGAGAGAGAGGGGGGGGGAGACGCATGGCATGTCGTCGCTTCTCCCGCGCATTCTAATGCAGACCACGCGGGCCACGCGCTCGCTCTGTGGCAGGTTGCCCTGCTCTGATTGGCTGCTGCTGGTGGTCCGCTCGACAGTAGCATCACAATAGCAAAGGCCTAGGGGGTGAAAAGGGGGGGGGAGGATGCTGAGGGTCCAGCAGGGGCGCACAAGCATTCGACTGGCGGGGGCGGGGAGGAACGTTGTACTGTGGGCTGCCAGGAAGACGGCTTATTTCACCCCCACCCCCCTTTCCCACCAGTAAAACCAAGCGCTGGGGGGCTTGGGCAGTGGCCTTAGGCTTTGGGTGAGCGCGCTTGTGGGCGGACACCCACCATCCCCGAGCTGCTGGAGCAACAACGATGGGAATCAAGGGCGCGGTTAGAACAGCTCCATATATTATTCGAGGAGTTGTAGCGTGTTGTTTCTAACCGCTCTTCCGAAACAGACCGCCAACACCACCGCCCAGCAGAGCAGACCCCCAATCTCTCTGGAGTGCTCGTAAGTAGTACACTTGGGATGGGGCGGGACTGTTAGAAAACCCTCCAGTGAAAGCTTATCGGAACACGCGATCAATGTGATCCTGAACCTCATGGGAAGCCATAATATTACCGCCCCTCCCCCTCCTTCTCTCCCCGGGAAAGAATTATATGAACGGTTTAAAATGGTTGGAGACGATGGTCAGTCAGGCCCTCCCAGCCTCCTCCTGCACGCGTGTGCTGTTCACATTCGCTCCGACAAGGCTGAACGGGACGCGGTACGGCCACCCTGCATAAGCGGCTTCCCAAACTTCCCACGAAATTTTCGGGGTCGGGGTGGCGCCAGGCCCGGCAGCCTGCTAGCCTCCACGGAAGTGCCTCGTTTGCATTGCTCATTAGTCAGAAGCGCAGAGCGCACGCCAGCGCAGCGGCCGCAGCGGCCGCTGCGGCTGCAAGCGGAGGTAAGCAGCACCAAAACGGCGGCAAGCGGCGGCAAGCAGGCGGCAAGCCGCACCAAAGCGGCGGCAAGCGGCGTCAAAGCGGCGGCAAGCGGCAGCAAGTGGCAGCCCGACCTGCGGCGTCGCGTAACTCTGCGCAATACCGTGAGAGATATGCCCTTCCCCCCACCACAGTGTATGCAACAAGCAGCGGACCGGTGGACCAAGGCCCGGCGGGTCACTCCGGAGCCCGCCCTCCCCGCCACACCGCGCCGCCGCCGCCGCCCGCCGCCGTCCCCCGCCACGCACCGATCGCACACAGGAGTCACCATCCATCGGAGTTAT